ATCATGAGGTGTTGTTTAAAGTCAAGTCTGGAGGCTTGACACCATTTAGCCTGAGTATTTTGGCAAGAATAGGCCTTGCTGCATTAGAAGGCACACGGTGTCTCTTTTTGGAAACGTACAATCGTCTCTCATGAAGGTGGCACAATGGAGGTAGTCAGTCTGTCATTCCTACCGCATTCATTAGCTGGAATTCCTCCACACACCAAAAGAAGTGGGCCACTTTCTTGAATTGTTTTCCTTGATGTGTAGATACAGAAGACAGATGTTTGCTCCCCCCCCACACACACCAATTTTTAGAACGAGCTTCTTATTCTTCTGCTACAGCGACTAATTAATTTGACTACAAGTCTAACAACCACGAGCCTGGCACCATTTGAGGTGGCTGCCCCCTGAGCCTCCTGAACAGAAACGCCCGATTGTGTCAGTGGGTTTCTCCCTGGCAAGGCAGGGCAGCGGCCGATCTCTCACACACCCCAGCAGTCTTTTCCCATGGGGACTGGTCTTTCGAGTTATTAGTACATTTTCACTTCTTTATTCGAATTTCAGAAGTTCGTTCTCTCCCTCCACCTTGTAGGTCCTGAGAGTAGAACTCAGGAGTTTGGCCTTGCAGCAGGGGCTGAGCCACTTCTCCAGCCCCTCAAAATGTGGTCAATCTTGAAAAAGTGTCACAATCTATCATTATATACAGATAATAAATCCCAAACCTGGAAATGAGAGCCCACGAGGTAGAAATCCAGGGTTTTAGTTGTGTACCGCACCTTTAGTAAGAAATAAGGGGGGCACCGAAGGAATTTCAGATGCCAGGGAACATAATCTCATAATGAATAGCCAGAACTCACATATCTGGGATGAAACTTTTTAAAAATTAATTAATTTTTTGTTTTATTTCGTGTTTGTGTTTGTTTTTGTGAGATGGGGTTTCGCTATGTGGCCCTGGCTGTTCTGGAACTCACTCTGTAGACCAGACTGGCTTTGAACTCAGAGATCTGCCTGTCTTAGCCTCACAAGTGCTGGGAAACTGTAAATCGGAAGAAAAAGGCTCAAGTTTCATGTGATAGGAGAAGAGAGTAGGAGAAGAGAGTAGTAGCTTGCTAGAATGTATTATGCTACGATCTTTCTGTGTAGTGTGTAAATTATGCTGTGATTGGTTTAGTAAAGAAGCTGACTGGCCAATAGCCAGACAGGATAAGGTTAAACGGGAGAATCAGACTAAGGGCACTGGGAAGAAAGGAGGAGTCAGAAGAGTTGCCAGGAGATACTGAGAGGAAACAGGAGGTGCAAAATGAAAGAGAGGTAACACCATGTGGCAGAATGTAGGTTAATATCAATGGGTTAACTTAAGTTGTAGCAGCTACTTAGTAATAAGCCTGAGTTATCAGTCAAGCATTTTTTTTTTTTTTTGGTTTTTCGAGACAGGGTTTCTCTGTGGCTTTGGTGCCTGTCCTGGAACTAGCTCTTGTAGACCAGGCTGGCCTCGAACTCACAGAGATCCGCCTGCCTCTGCCTCCCAAGTGCTGGGATTAAAGACGTGTGCCACCACCGCCCGGCCAGTCAAGCATTTATAATCAATGCTAAGCCTCTTTGTGGTTATTTAGGAGCAGCTGCTAAGACACAGAGAAACTCCACTTACAAGAATAACCTTCACAAAGAACACAGTTCAGAGTCAGAAGAGACACATACCTGCGTCTTTACAAGGCGACTAACAGCTACAGAAGGCGTCTAATAATTGAAACCTTGCCTTAGATCTGCTTTCACAAGACTTCATATAAAATGAGAGCAGTGTCGCCTTTCATCTGGTAATATGAAAGTCGTAGTTGAAGCTGGATATGGTGGTGCACACCTGTGACCCCAGCCCTCGGGAAGCCGAAGCAAGAGGACCATGAGTTCCAAGCTAGCTTGGGCTACATTGTGAGTTCCTATTTCAAAGAAGGAAAAAAGTCACAGGTGATTTGATAGTAATTATTTCTATGATGTGGTGCAGATGGAAGCCCCAGAGTAGAGTAAACAATGAACAAAGGGTGAAGAATTGGAACCAGAGGAAGACTGGTGATTTCCTTGAGAACTTTTTTCTACAAAAGGGAATAAAGAAACAGAATGCTGAGCCAGGCAGTGATGATGCCTGCCTTTAATCCCAGCACTTGGGAGGCAGAGGAAGGTGGATCTCTGTGAGTTCGAGGCCAGCCTAGTCTACAATAGCTAGTTCCAGGACAGGCTCCAAAGCTACAGAGAAACCCTGTCTCGAAAACAAACAAACAAACAAACAAACAAAAACAATGGTTCTAAAAGGGGGTCTAAGATCAACTGAGTGGGTTTTTTTGTCTTTTTCATTTGTTTGTTTTTGGTTTTTAATCACGGCATTTCTATGATGCTAATGTAAACAAGGTAAAGTTCATATAATAAAAGGAGAAATTAGTGTTGTGGAATGATCTTTTTGTACACCGTGTCACTGACTGGTTTAATAAAAATCTGAATGGCCAATAGCTAGGCAGGATTTTCAGAGCAGAAAGAGAAGGAGGAGGAGGAGGAGGAGGAGGAGGCAGAGATGCTGAGAGACAGAGAACATGTAAGACATGCAGGAGGAGCAGTTACAGCCACGAGCCACATGGCAGCATATAGATTAATAGAAATGGGTTACGTTATAAGAACTAGTTAGGTCAGGCAGTGGTGACGCTCGCCTTTAATCCCAGCACCCGTGAGGCAGAGGCAGGTGGATCTCTGAGTTCAAGCCCAGCCTGATCTACAGAGTGAGTTCCAGAACATGTTCCAAAGTTACACAGAGAAATCCTGTCTCAAAAAACCAAAAGCAAGCAAACAAACAAAAACAAACAAACAAACCACACTATTTAGAAAGAAGCATAAACTATCAGCAGAGTTTTCATAATTAGTAAGAAACTTCTGTGTCATTTTTGAGGAGCCACCAGTCCTGGTGAAAAAGTCTGACTATAAACTAGTGACCAATGAAAGCAGGAAATTGCCAGGCTACATCCCTGAGAAAGCAAGGGTTGGCTTCATAACCTAGAATGTTGCTCTCTGTCTTCATCGAGACGGTGGGAGGTGCAGATGCAGGAGGACCTGGTGGCTAGAACAGGGTCTCTGCTCAGTTGCTTATAGCTTGTTTTCTTTCTCCCCCGTGGCAAGTGCAGGAGAATGGGACCAAAAGATGGAAGGTTGACAAGTCCAGCCAGATGGTGGCAGTGCATGCCTTCAATCTGCCTAATGTGGGTACTAGGGACTTGGTTCCTCTGGAAGAGCAGCAAGCTTTCTTAACCGCTGAGTCATTTTTCCAGCCCCGAAAAACTGTCTTCTAAAAGCAGTGAAGTCGGTGGACTGGAGACCCTAGGGTGTTAGACAAGAAGCATTAACGATAACGTGACAAGAGTCGGGATTAAAGGAAGACTGAGTCTCTGGCGAGTCTTCAGATGAACAGCCGTGGGAAGGAAGGGTGAGAGGCTCAGCGATCTGTAGAAACAGCAGAGGCGTTTGAAGGAAGAGGAAGAGTTTGAAAGTGACAGTGCATCAGGAGGAAAAATCAGCAGGTGACACTCTGGCCCTGAAGAATGCAGGTTACATGGGGAAAAACTGCTCCCCTTGGGGCCACAGGGGGCCGGTGTCCTCATGACAGTGCCAGCCACACACCGTGATATCTAGGAGTAAGGGAAACACTTGGACATGGAAGGCAAGGGCAAGGGAAAATGCTTATTACATACCCGGAACCCCAGGCTCTGGGAGGACATAGAGCAGGTTTGGAGGACGTGGAACTGAATAGAGTGAGAATGAAGGCAACAAAGGAGACCTGAGCTCCTGGGGGCTGAGGAGAGAGGGGCTGAGGAGAGGAGGGCAGAGGAGAGAGGGGCTGAAGAGAGAGGGGCTGAGGAGAGAGGGGCTGAGGCTGCAGAGTTTCTAAAAGGCTGGAGAAACAGATCAAGCCTGCTGTTCTCACATCTGCCATCAGACATTGTTCCTTGAGAAAGCTGCTATCTTCTACGGCCCCCGGGGTCCCCTGTTCCCCAGCTATAGCAGTCCTTACTGTTTGGTAGAAGTATTAACACTCAGTCCTCCTCTTGCCACTTCGTATTATTGGAATCTGCTCACAGACTCTCTGACATCTGTTCAGGGTCACCACCTCAGAAGAGGCCAGACTGGGCTTCCCCAGCATGAAGGCCAAGCTTTGGTAGCTCCACGACACTTGCTCCTGATGCAAGGGTGCACACTCACCCTTCACTTCCCAAGCTTGAGAGGCTAAGAGCCTTGGCTAAAGACTCAGGACCACATATGCAAGTCCCAGACACAGCTTAGGCAGCTGCCAGGGAAACAAAACATCCACATCTACATGGCAACCAACCAGCCATCACAGACACTACTAAGAATGAGTTACTGTGTATTCTCACCCCAACGTCGGAAAACCACGTGTGCGGGCTGATGCTGTGCTAATAAAGATAGTCTTGGCCAGGTAGGGCAATGCACACCTGTAATCCCAGTACTTGGGAGGTAGAGATCGGAAGATCAAAAGTTCAGTGTCTTCTCAACAATATAGTGAGTTCTGGGCCAGTCCGAGCTGCATGGGACCTATTTCCAAAACAACCACAAAACTTCTCACTTAAATAGATGAAATAATTCCATATTGAATACTCTTTTGCTGTATTTTAAAATTCTAGGATCAGCAAGATGCCTTAGTGGGTAAGAGGATCTGCTGGCAAGCATGACAGTGTGATTTTAATCCCCAGGACCCACGTGGTTGAAAGAAGCCATTCCGGTAAGCTGTCCTCTGATTGTTACAGGAGTACATGTGACCCAGGAATCTCTCCCCCCAACACATAGACATACAGAGCAGACACACAAAATACAAACACAATTGTGAAAGCAAGTACAATTCTATAAACATATCATTTGAGTTCAAGGATAGCCTGGTCTACAGAGAAAGCTCCAGGACAGCCAAGGCTACACAGAGAAACCCTGTATTGAAAAAAAAAAAAAAAACAAGTTGAGAGAGCGGGTGGAAGATGGCGGAGGGAGGATGCGTGGAGCCGGAGGAGCTGGAGAGGGGGTCCTCGAGGCCCCGGCCCCCGAGTGCGCAGGATTTACAGTTGGCCTTGGCAGGACTGTACGAAGAGAAAGTGAAATGCAAGTCTTCCAGGCCTGCCAGATCTGCAGCTCCCGTCTTGAAGAGCCCACGAACACTGCCGCAGTGGCTTATTCAGGTGAACAGGAATGTACATATAGCTCAGCCTCTACCTGGGAACATTGTGAATGACCTCTTCAGAGAGGCAAGGGAGCATGGGGCCGTCCCTCTAAGTGAAGCCACAAGATCTTCCAGTGACGACAAAGCTAAGTCGTTTACAGGCGGAGGATACAGATTGGGCAGTTCCTTCTGTAAGCGGTCAGAGTATATCTATGGAGAAAATCAGCTGCAAGATGTTCAAATTTTACTGAAGCTGTGGAGCACTGGTTTCAGTTTAGATGATGGAGAATTGAGACCTTACAGTGACCCAACAAATGGTCAGTTTTTGGAATCTGTTAAGAGAGGAGAGATGCCCCTGGAGCTTCAGAGACTGGTCCATGGCAGCCAAGTGAATCTGGATATGGAGGATCACCAAGACCAAGAGTACATAAAACCCAGATTGCGATTCAAGGCTTTTAGTGGAGAAAGACAAAAACTTTGAAGCCTTACACCTGAAATTGTCAGTACTCCTTCTTCTCCAGAAGAAGAGGACAAATCAATACTTAATGCCACTGTTCTTATTGATGATTCTGTGCCCACCACAAAAGTTCAGATTAGGTTGGCAGATGGAAGTCGTCTGATCCAGAGATTCAACAGCACCCACCGGGTCCTGGATGTCCAAGACTTCATCATACAGTCACGTCCTGAGTTTGCAACAACAGACTTTATTCTTGTGACTTCGTTTCCGAGTAAAGAGCTAACAGATGAAAGTCAGACACTACAAGAAGCAGATATTCTTAATACTGTGATACTCCAACAGCTAAAATAGTATTGTTCCAACTCATGTAGGAATAGGTAATGTTGTGCATATTGGTAAAAATACTTCCAGCATAAAAACAACCAAATTATTTTTATTATTCAGATAAATCCTGTTTTTGCTGTTGATCTGCCTTCCAGTATTTGTCTAGATAAATTTAAACCATGGATAGATCTTTGAATTTTTTTTCTTTTTTTAAAATATTTATTTATTTATTATGTATACAGTATTCTGTCTACATGCATGCCTAAAGAGGGCACCAGGCCTCATTACAGATGGTTGTGAGCCACCATGTGGTTGCTGGGAATTGAACTCAGGACCTTTGGAAGAGCAGGCAATGCTCTTAACCACTGAGCCATCTCTCCAGCCCCAGATCTTTGAATTTTTGAATGTTTGAATTTTTAGTTGCAGGTCAGGCTTATATTGGTTGATAGCTGTAAACATCTAGGTCAACAATTTCTTACATAACAATTACTCAGTGTTAATGGAATAATGTTTTCAGATGAAGTGGAAAGAACCTCTTTTGGAAAATGCGTTTGGTAAAATTTGCACTCAAGTTTTTTAATGCAGCAATGACCAGTAACCAGTAAGGATACCTTTTCTGTAATATATACCAGTGTCTGCTCCGAGTTTGAAATTGTTTGATCATAAAGTAATTAAGACTTTGCATATTGTTAATTTTTATATGTCGTTTGAACTATGTTAGTATCACAGAGTATATTTTGCCCTTGTAATTTTATAAAATTACAACTAAATTTTAGTATCTATAAAGGTCAACCGCTCTTGAGAAGATGGGATAAACAGAACTTTCAAGTCAAGACATTGCAGTCCCACCCAGGCCTGCCTTGATCACTTTCATTTTCATCCAGCATTTTAACAGGGATCTGGCACACTAGAATCATTTGTAGGTGTGCAACACAGAATGTGTTGTTCTTCAGCGTGTGAACTCAGTCTGAGTGGCTGGAGCAAAACTTGCCAGCAAGATGTTAGTGTTTCCCTTGTCCAGGCACGCCTTGAGTGATGCGGGCAGATTCATCAGGAACAGAAAAGCTTGCTTCCCCGCAGACACCATTCCGTCCTTAGCCACCATTGCTGTGTACTTTTCGGTTGCTGACGTAAGAAAACACAGAGCTTGTGACTGAAGTAGCAGAGATGATCTTAAAGGTATGTAGGTCGGATATTGAAAACGAGTTTCTCTGCGCTAGAATTAAGGCGTCGGTGGGACTGCATGGAGACTCTAGAGAATGATTGCCTGGCTGCTGAGCCTCCAGAGGCCACCTGTGTTCCTTACCCATGGTGCTCGCCCTCCTCTATAGCCGGCACTTTCACCTCCCTGAGCCTTCTGTAATTACAGTGTGCTCTGCTTTCGAGGACATTAAGACGAGACAGGATGCACATGTGAACCCATGCTCGTTGCCTAGCGTTAGCTTTATAGTGACCCTAGTCACCCTTCAGGGTTGCTTTTCCACTTCAGTTACACCTTCTTGGGAGTGGGGGAGTTGATATGGTTGCTTACCACGGCCCACATTGTCTTGGAGATTCATCTGCCAAATAAACTCACCCCATTCATACACACACACACACACACACACACACACACACAAAAGTTGAATAGGCTAATTTCCACCTGTTGGGGGCAGGGCACATTCTTATCCGTTCTTAAAATAGCCCTCGCTGTGCCCAGATTGCCATCTTGTATTATATGTTTACTATCAAGCAGAGCAGGGCAGCATAACATAAGCTGAAACCGAGAGTCTGCTCTGAGTTTGGGGAAGAGAAGTCTTGGACTTCATTCAAGTTGTTTGTACTTAGTTCTGGATGAACAAAGAAGCAGGGTGGGGGGACGGAGGAGGGCAGGACAGGGAGGGAGGAACAGCAGGGCTCCCATCAACTAACTCCCTTGTATTTCCTAGAGTAGCCGCCAAGCCCTGTGTCTTGCCAGTTCTGTGGGCTACCCCCCAAGTCAAAGAAGCAGATGACGCCAGACTCTGCTGCTCAGAAGCCCTGTCACCATAGAAAGTGACCGTTCTGACATTAACTGAGCCATTCTGTGCAGAGTCTGAAGCCTGACTTGCTTGTGGCATCCACAGGCAGGCCCGGCCCCTGTTTCCTGCCACTACGTGCTGGGTGGGCTTTGGAGATCAAAGGGTTAAAGCAAGAGTAGGTTCTTCTGCCCTGTGCCTCAGGCTAGCCCTTGGCTTACTTAGGTCCATCCTGCCTCTTCTCTAACGAGCATTCCTTCATAGAAGGTGGCTAGGGAACAAACAAGATAAACTGGTTTAATTTTTTTTTTTAAAAAAGCATATTACTATTCATTCTGGGTTGTTGAATAGCCTTTGATGTTCAGTCACCCTCGTCTGTTTCTCTTACAGTAGCGCTATGAGCACTAACGGGATGAGGGTGCTGGGAACTAGGAGTCTGACCAGTGGGTCTTCCAGGGGGGTGAGGGTGCTGGGAACTGGGAGTCTGACCAGTGGGTCTTCCAGGGGGGTGAGGGTGCTGGG